ATTATTATTATTATTATTATATATAATTTTATTTTATTTCATTTTTTTCCTCATTTGAGCCTCCCTCTCCCCCCCTCCTAGATAGCCCTGCTTCCTCTTGGCTCCCTGACTTTAAAAGTCTAGCTCCGCCACTGCTTGAGACACATCGATCACTTCCGGTGCGCAGGCAACAGTAGATTAGCAATGGCGTTTCGAACTTGACCGCTGCAGGACTATCCGACAGTAACTGTTGATAATGTTTATGGAATTATTTCAAGAACGTCAGAAAGTATCATGTGAAAATGTCCCAAATTGTCGGTGCCCAAGGAAGAAAAAAAGAAAAGAAGAAGAAATAAAGCATCACAGAAACAGAGGTAAAGTAAAACTACGATTAAATTACCTGTTGGCTAGCATAATGTAGTAGCAACTTGGCTAGCTAGCCAAACACAGAGCTAATCAATAGTCTTTTATGTTTTATTTTATGCAAATTTTTATGCAAATTTATGAAAAAAAATTATTTATTATAATTTTTAATTAGACAGCGCTGAAGATATATTACTTTGATACAATGTAAAGTAGTCAGTGTACAGCTTGTACAGTAGTGTAAATTTACAACTTAGCAGAGGATTATGTCGACACAGCAGGTGAATGCGACCCGATCTAATCAACCTCCAAACAAAATCCAATTTTGTCACTTGCATATGTGGAGTTTAATCCGATACGTATCCGAAAGTTTCCAAACCGTCTGCGGTCTGGACAATCATGTACACGGCGCATTTAATTTAACTTTTTTAAGACGTGCTCATAATTCTACACCAGAAGAAGCCAGACGCTGTTAGTTGTGTATTATTTTTTTTATCAGCTTCGTCTTGTTGTGATCTTGTGACGATACTGTCTCCTTCCATCGCTGAATTATCTTCGATTTGGCGGCGCCGTCTATTATTACTTCCGTAAACATAGCTTTTGTGCGACGTTTTCCTTCTGCGCATGCGTGTCACAAATCATTCTCACAGAACAATGACTGCGGTTGGATTTAATTAGTAGTATCAATGACAATGGAAAACAAACAAACAAAAAACAAGATAGTTGGATATCAGCAAAAATTGGAATTGAGTATAAAAACCTTTTGTGTGAACTTAGCCATTTCCCCACCACCACAGGGCTTCATATACACTCAATATCTTGAATTTGTATTGAACCAAATATTTAGTTTTGGCTTGATTTGTTATGGAGAAATTCAGGAGAAACAATGGAAAACAGGTGTGTTAAAGTTCTCACTTTCCCCCTTTTTTTATTACTGGAAGTAACCAAAACAGTTTATGGTTGACTGTTTTCAGATCTGGCCTTTTTAGAACAAAGTGCAAAACCATGAGCCAGGCTCACTTTCTTCCTTTCTGTTTTCATCGTTAAGCTTGAGCCCTCCTATCTTGTCTGTCAGACCTGCAAAGGAAATAAATGTAATTTATTCACACAGCAAGATCCTTATGAGTGGGACAGTGTTGTCACTGCAGTGCATGAATGCAGAAAAAATACATTGTGATCAATTGTGTTGCTAATAGAAGTTAGTTTACCTACAACAATTAGCTAATTTCACTGCGGTGTGTGGACTTCAGCCCCCTTTTTACACTTAAGGTCTCAAAGGCTGAAGGATTGAAACTTTATGATTAAATTATGATTGAACTACAGGAACTTCCTCAGAAAATTTACAATTAATAAAATATCTTAATGAAACAGCTTGAAATCCTTTTATTTGAAGTATAAACCACTTTTTAATCTATTTATAGAATAAAATATATTTTTACTATGATTATGATGATAATAATGATTATTATTATTATTAGGACATCTCACCATCACCATCATCTTCTCTTTCCACCAAAGTCTTCAGCTTCACCTCCACTGGATAATGGTCGCTCACTTTCAGAGCCTGAAAGAATAGAAATAATAAAACTTTAAGATTATTGAAATGTCTGAACTAACTGTAATTCTGAATTAACTCAAATATCAAGGGAAAAGGTAAAATTATTCGCAATTAATTTTCACTCCATGATCAGATCTCAGTAATTTATCTGGTATTTGAATGAAATAGAAAACAAATAATTATATAAACATGAAAATAAGAGCAAACCTGCTCATCGGAGAGCTTATAAGCTTTCTGGAAGTTGAAGGTTTTAGCAGATTTTGGAACAACAGCCTGAAGCATTTTGTCTCCATAAACGACAATCCTGAATGAGGAGAAGAAGAATTACCAAAGCAAACAGCAGGGAGTCACAGGGTGATCATTTACGTCTCACTCCTTCTCAGAACAGAAGTTTCTGAAGTTAAATCAGACCAAACTTCTCTTGTTTTGGATTAGTTAGTTGTACAAATAATCTAAATATTTCTTATTTATGGCTCTAACAGAATCACCAAAATTATTACCAATCTTCTCTTAAACTTTAACGTCTTGGCTGAAGTTTTTAGATGTTGCTTTGATATTTCCCTATGCTCTACAGTTAGAATGGTAGAAGCATCCCTGTTTTTTCTCCAAATGTAACAGTGGTGATTATGGCCAAACAGTTGAACTTTAGTTTCATCAGACAATGGAACATGTCAAACCGTAATCTGGCTTTTTATCTTTCTTTTGGAGTAATGACTTCTTCCTTGCTGAGCGGCCTTTCAGCCACTGTTGGTACAGAAAATGTTTCTCTCGCTTCAGCAGCATCTTCACAAGAACTCTGGCTTCTATTTTGGGGTCAATTTGCATATTTTGGACCAGAACTCATATCTTTCTTGTGAGCTATGATGGTTGGACATTTCCGTCATGTTTATACTTCCGTATAATTGTTTGAACAGATGAATGCGGCTCCTTCAAGTATCTGGAAATTGTTCTCAAGGATGGAGCAGCTGCACAGTTCTCTTTGAGTCAAACGAGAAAGCAGTGAGTTCCAGGTGTGACCTTAAAACACATCCACAGGTGAGCCTCAAAATAACTCGAATCTGTCAGTTTGTGGAAGGAAACATCTGAAATAGTACGGCGCCCTCTAGAGGACATGGGGATTTTTTTTGTTTGTTTGTTTCTTCACAATAAATTAGCAAATACACCCTGGTCTGTTTGGTGTACAATCAGAGATAATAAATGTCCATTTAAAATTGCAAATGCTTTTACAGAGCCTCAATGAAAACATGTCTCTACATTCTTAATTCTTTGGTGCAAATAACTGGTTGGAAATTGATCTATTAACTCTGTTTTTGTTTGTGTACATTTGAGATGTAACCGCACATGAAAACGGCTCTTTACTAACCAGACTACCAACACAAAAAATTACAAAACTGTTAAATGACTTTATTACGCTGTGAATGTAAGTCAAAGGTAGTCAAAATAGTATAAATGTATTATGTCTTTCCTTCTGTCTTATGAAAACTTTCTGTTTGTGTAAAAATGAATGCAAAGAGACAGAAATCCCATGTTTGGCTAGTTTTGCTTTTGCATTTTGCACATAAGTTTGTGGTGCATTTGTACCCTAAAGAAAAATATGTAAAACTTCAGATATCTCACAAACGAGATATTAACACACCCCACAAAAACCTTACATTGTAGAAGAGAGACTTTTAGTATTGAAGATGCTGCTGAACCGACCAGTAAGTTATTGTGAGAAAACGCAAAAGAAAAAAATTCCCCATGTCTTCTAAACAGCCCCATAAAATAGAAATAATTTTGGTAATTGTAATTATAAAACAAGATAAATTTGGTTTGATTTAATGTAAGAGAATGAGAAAAAATGTTTTTATTTGGTGCATATAAAGTTCCAGTTTCAACTGAACATGAGGTTTTATGAACAGCAGTTGGTTTTGACGTTTATTCTGATGGGTGGTTGGTTCCTACCTGTCGTATGTGTTGGTGTTTTTGGGGCTCACTGTTGTGTCCACATCGTCTCTGATCAGCCAGTGGAAGTTTTTGTCGCTGCGGATTCGGATGTTCTTCATCTTCGTCTTTGAAACATACGGGCTGTCAGCGTTAAAGTCGCCCAGGATCATCACGTTCTGTGGTGGACAGACAGGAAGCCAACCAGTGCCACCAGTTTGGACTTTGTTCCCCATATGAAACAGGAGACACACCTTTTCACTTCAAGGGTTTTAAATGTGACAGTATAATAAATAAAATCCAGTCTTAACCATATTCTAAAAGTACTTCAGTACTTCTGTATGAAGCTGCTTTTTAAAATATTTACTGTTGGTGCTTAAATATGGAGGGTTAAAAGGGACAAGAATAAATACATCATTAAATTATTTAATACATCTCCATGAACTAAATACATTTTCAAATAAATGTATAAATAATCTATTAATAGACAATTTAAATATAATTGAATTATAATTAATTGTAATGCAACGTATTTAATAAATTGATTATGTATTAAAAAGTTTATTCAAACATTTTGTGGTACATTTAATTGATCATTAAATGATGTATTCATTTATTTAATTTTGTCTCTTGGCCCTCATATGGAGGACCTGTATTTATGTCTTTAAAATCAGATTATCACATTGTGGAGGACATAAAACATTGATTTAACCTGTCTGTCACGAGAGGACCCAAATTTGGGTCCTCTCGTGACAGGGGTGTCAAACTTCAGTCCTCAAGGGCCGCTGTCCTGCAACTTTTAGATGTGCCTCTGCTACACCACACCTGAAAAGAATAATTAGGTCATTAGCAAGGCTCAGGAGAACCGATCTACACAGGGAGGAGGTAATTAAGCCATTTCATTCCACTGTTTTTTACCTGTGGCACATCTAAACACTGCAGGACAGCAGAGGACTGGAGTTTGACACCCCTGTCATTGTGAATGACAACCTGAGACCAACAGGTTAACACAGAGATATCCCAAGGAAACATTTTGCTGCTTTTCTCATTTTCCATGTGTGCTTGTGATTTTTCTTATTGTTTTGGTCTTTTTCTCCTGCTCAATCTCTCTCACATTAAAAAAACCTTTAACTTCACAACCATTTCAGTTATATTTAACAACAAGATTAAAAGCATTTTTATGCGCGAGTATATTTACATTAGTCCTCCACTTTTTCTTGACGTGAATGAAGAGGTCGTAGAGTTCGTCCAGTTCCTTCACCGCGTCTTCTGGTTTGGTGTGAACTGGGATCATCACCAGATCTTCCAGAACTGCAAGGAAAATCAGACAAAAATACAGTTTTAGATTTAAGGTTGCAGTCATTGTGGATGTTATTAGACTTTAAAGTGTATTAGTGAACATTATAAGACAATTATGATTTTTTTTCACCTGTATTTGGGCAACTGAATCGAAGGATATACGGATCTCTGTCAATGTTGTCCTGTCCTTTAGTCTTCTCATCATCAGACTGGTACGTTCCCACCAGTTTAACCATGTCATCCCTGCATGCACAAACCATACAGTTTTACTTACAAACCACTTATTATTAAACAAAAATGAATTTTAGGACATTGGAAATATTGGCTCTGAACAGCGTGATGTCAGTCTGATTTTAAATTACATTTTGAAAATTTATTGTCAAGCAGTTCCTGATGTCGATCAAAGAGGTTCAGCAAAGAGCCCAGCAATGATCTTCATCAGAAAATACACTGTGGGCAAAGAAATGGAAAGAATGAAAGAAAATGGCACCAAAAGGGAATGGATTTAAAGTAAGAGACAGAGGACCAAGAACGGAGCCTTGTGGTTCTCCTCAAAGTAGATGAATAGAGAAAGATCTAAAGTTATTGATACAAACAGAAAAAAGTTGGACCTGAACCATTTAAGAGTTGAACCTGTAATCCTGACCCACATCCTCACTTTCATCTAGGAAGGAATTTAATAATTTCTTGAACGTTTGACAAAAAAAAAAGAAATCGGCCTGAAATTTGACAGATGCATGAAGGCCGGATTTCTCTAGCAGATGTTTCTTATCAGCATGTTGAAAACTTTGTGGCACAAAACCAGATGTTAAACTGTTATTGATGATTGTTCAGATAAAAGATTTTCAGTTCGAAACCAGCATTTGTTTTGTTTCTTACAGACTGCTTTTGAAAACAGTTGATGTATTTATTCAGATCAGTCAGATTTTGTTATTTTCTCATCTTTACTGTCAGCTTGTGAAGGAAATTATCCTCCTAATGGATGAATGGATGAACTGTCACCTGTACAGGAACATGAACTGCTCCTTGTAGCGCGTTCGGCCCAGGCGAGTGCTGATTCTCAGAGTGTAGTGATGTTTCCGTTTGGGTCTGCGGACACGAACAGAAGTGTTGCCATGATAAATGTTTACATCAGAGAAAATCAGTGGATTAAGCAGATTCACGCAAATTTTGAGGCCTCGGGGTCAAATGTGTTTCTAAATTATGGCTGAAGGTTTTTAGAGAGACCAGTTAACCTAATAGTGAAAGCAACAAAAAATGTGGAGATCTGTTGAATTTACGTGAATTTCTACAACTGAGGAAAAACTCAAGGGACTCCCTGATGTAATTTGGATGTATACAGATAAAAACTGCTAAAATAATGGTGTAGACTCTAGAGGGCCACATATAAAAGCTACAGAGGGCCAGATTTGGCCCCCAGGCCTCGAGTTTGACACCTTATCACTAGGAGAACATGAATACTCCACTTTGCATCCACCTGAAAATCAAATGCTTTTAATAAATCAACCAGTTTTGACAAGAAATGTGCAACCAGGAAGAAGTCAGAAGCTTGTTGACGTCTACACTGCAAAAACACAAAATCCTACCAACTATTTTTGTCTTGTTTCTTGTGCAAATACTGTTGGTTCACTTGAAATAAGAAAAAAACTAACTTAAAAGTAATTTGTTAGCAAGAAATTAATTCTCTTATAAAATGGGAAAAATGTCTTTTTATAAGTGAAATAATTTACATGAGGAACTAGTATTTTATAAAATCAATATTCAAGAATTATCGACGTAAAACAAGCTCCTATTTCTTGCTGACAAATTACTTTAAAGTGAGTTTTTTTCTTATTTCAAGTGTACCGAGATATTTGCATTAAAAACTTGACAAAAATGTTTGGTAAGATTTTAGGTTTTGCCGAAAGACTTTTGGCTAAATATTAATTTTGATGTGATTATTTTCGAATCTGTGTGATTTAACTTGTGTGGATATTAACGTTTTGGTTTGTTGTTTCTAAAAATGATTGCAGTTTATTGTTGTGTATTCAATCAAACTTTCCTTGTTGATTTATGAGTTCTGGTGGAAGCCAATTTTTTGCCAGTTACGTTTATTTGTATATCACATGTCAGGAACAAGGCAGTTCAAAGTGCTTTACATCATAAAAACACCATACAGGCAACAATTGAAAGAAAAAACGGTAACGAACATTTTGATGAGTGCCATCATCAAAATAATCAATGAATTAAGTTGATCGATGCTTCATTTATCATGGTTCAAAAGCAGCAGGTGGGTTTTTAGTCTCGGTTTAAAGGAACCCAAACATGCGATTTGTGCTGAAGTGTTTCTGTAAACCTTAGTCTATGTAGCTGCTGAATGAGCCACCAAGGGTTTAAAACTTTGCCTTTACTGACTTGTTGAGCGCTTGCATCAGAGCGGCCACTGATTCCTTGGTGCCGTCCACGACTTCCAGGATCACAATGATGTCATAACGGGAAATAATCTGACAGACAGAACATTTCTCAGTAGCAGTTGATTACTAAGCACAAATATTCCCTTCAAAGGAAAACCAGCGGATCTGTCTTTACCTTAAAATGATGAGTTTATGTGTTTTTACCTTAACGAGGATCTTCAGAACATCTGGGTCCGACACTTTGCTCCGTCCAAACTTCTGAATATTAAACGCTGCGATTTTCATGTTGGCTGAAAGTTTGGAAGAAAAAGCAGATTCTTTATAAAAGGAAAACCTCTTAACTAAGAGAGACAGTTCTTCTGTGTCCAGCTTTATCGCCTGCTGCAGCAGAAAGAGCAGCAGATCAGATCCATTTGGACTCCGATCGATTCAAGTTTCTCACAGTTAACAGTCTCCAAAACACAGACAGAAAGTCGCTCAGTCCTCAAAACTCATCAATGGAAAATCAGTTCTGTTCACAAACTGAAAGTCTCCTTTGCTAACCTCCTCTTAAATGCTCTGAGTTGATTGAATCACAGTTCACTCAACCGTTGAAGTTCAGAGTGTCATACTGTTTACTGCAGAAACTTATTTTGCTCAGAGAAACATACAGACTTTCCTCGTTTTGTTCTGTTTAATTAGCTTTGCTTATTGTAACAGTTAACTGTAATTGATGTAGCTGTTAAGTCATAAAGTTAAAATTAATAAAATAAATATTATAAAACAAGCGATTAACATTTTGTGAAATGCCATCATCAAAATCAAGCAAATACGGTATATGTCAAGTATTTTTGATCAATGTTCCAGACATTATTGATCAGTGTTTCTGCAGTTTTGCAGTTTTCTGGAAGTGTATTCTAGATCTGTGGTGCATAGAGGCTGAATGCTGCTTCTCAATGTTTGCCTCTGTTGATAGAACAGCAGTAGATCTTTTATGTATTGAGGTGCTGAGCCGTTCAGTGATTTATAAACTACCAACACTATTTTAAAGTCTTTTCTCTGAGCTACAGGGAGCCAGTGTGAGGACTGTAGAACAGCTGAAGGCTCTACCTTCCTGGTTCTAGTCAGAACGCCAGCAGCAGCGTTCTGGATCAGCTGCAGCTGAATAAAAAATCAAGTCTGATTTTTTTTTATTATCATAATTATTATTCAGACTTGTGAAGATGCAACTGAAGATAAACACATGAATGAGTTTCTCTCGATCTTATTGAAACATTAGTCCTTTAATCCTGGAAATGTTCTTCCGGTGACAGAAGACTGACTTTATAACTGTCTTTATGTTGCTGTGAATGTTCAGGTCAGAGTTCATCCTGATCTTTAGTTTCCAGCTGGAATAACTGAAGCTGTGCGTTGACTCTAGATCAGGGGTCGACAACCCAAAATTTTGAAAGAGCCATATTGGACCAAAAAAACAAAAAACAAATCTGTCTGGAGCCGCAAAAAATTAAAAGCCTTGTATAAGGCTTATAATGAAGGCAACGTAGGCTTTAAGTGTTTATATCAGCTTATTATCAAAATGACTTAAGTGTATTCATAATTAGCATTCATGATTAAATGTTTATTTTCCCTGCAGTGCGTCCTGGACAGACTGATGCACCACGTCACTCTGTTGTACGATGATGCTTTAAGTTTACCCTCCGTTACAGTATTAAGTATTATGTTGCGTTGCATTGATAAAATTAAATAAATACAATTAGAATCAGATTTTTTATGTCATTTTTATTATGAAGATCGACAAGGAAAGGGTAATTTTTTCCTTTTGGAACTCAGAAACTCTGCTCCCAAGAGCCGTTTGCATAACAACAATCGCTCTTTGTAAATAATCACATTAACTGTGTGATCAATAAAACGTGCGAAAAAAACAACAAAACAGAACGTGCATAACGTGCCCTTTATCTGGGCAACAAACGGAGTGCAATAAAACGCAACATGCAGTTATGAAATAAAACAGCAGCCTTTTGAAAAGGTATATAAAATGAAACTAGTACAGTTTAAGTTCGATTTCTCTGCAAATGCCAGGTCAGTGCGAGAGTAAGACATGGCAGCATCCTCTTCTCTTTTGACACGCAACCATCGTTGGACCTGAGCAACACAACACAATAATATCGCTAAGTGTCATTCTAAATATATACTTACAAAAATCACTAATCAATTTATAAAAACAACTTTGTTACTAAATGTATGTGCCAATGGCAGGATTGTGTTCTTACCCGTTTAATGTGACTTCTGCTTACGGACATCACTGGACAGCTTCTCAACGTCGGGCATGTAAGCTGTAACTTTAATCTAGACGCGGCAGCTACTAGCATGCCTTCCCTGGAAATGTTATTGGACAACTTCTCGCTACAGAGCAAACGTTCAGGCAATCCTTCCGCATTGGCAATGAATGCAAATGATTCGGTCCAAGAATTGTAGAATGTCTCCTCGGCTATCTTCCTCTTTTCCCCTTTGCTCTCCATGGCCCACCTGTTGGTTTGTTTACCACAGCCTGACAGCCACATGCCTCGCACCCCGTCCCGCTGAGAGGAACGTACACAGACTATGACGCAAATCTTTGTTGATGGAAATGTTGACATTTATTATTTATTCTACACATTTTTATAGCATTGGAAAACGTTAAGAGTGATTGTGTAATGTTTGTCCTCCTACAAAAACCATATTAAAACAAAAAATATATTTCCCACCCCCTTCTTTTTCCATTTTCAAACAGCTTCGAAAAGCTCCAGGGAGCCAGTAGGGCAGCGCTAAAGAGCAGCGGGTTGCCAACCCCTGAGCTACATCGATCCTCTGTAGGTCCAAATATAATAACTTCAATTTCTGTTCAGATGGAGAAAGTTTTTCACATTCATCTGTTCTCAGCATCTGTTCAGTGACTGGATGGTTCTGGTGATGTAGAGCTGTGCATCATCTGCATAGACTTATAGTAACTAATCATATTACCTGTTATAAACTGAGCTAGCAGGAGCATGTGGATATTAAGTATGAGGAGTCCCAGGATTGAACCTTGGGGAACCCCACATGTCAATAAAATCACTACCATTAGTCAGTCCACCAGTATTTATCCCTATAGATAATTATTGATTCTTTATCAATTAAGATATCAATGAATGTGTGTCTGTCTGTGCATGCAAGTCCTGCATGTGATCCACATCATTTCCTTTTTTGTTTTTTATACATAAGAGTTTCAGAACATTAAACTAATTTAAATATCAGTCAAAAACTACACAAGTAAACACAGTAGTTTATGTTATTACTTTGGACAGTATGTTGTTCTTAATTTTGTTGTTATATATGTTAGTACGTTTATAGTACATGCCTCAGTGTCCTGTCACTTTGTTGCTGTTACACATGAATTTTCCAATTTTCTTTCAATTCTGTTCTAATCTACTATACAGACATTTTCCTTAAATAGATGCTAAAAACAGTTATTGTATAATTTATTAGATTATTACAGTGACATTAATCAGCATTACTATAATTCATCATAGTATATTTGCAGGAATTAGCACAATAGCAGAAAGCAAGCACAAAAAATGAAATACTTCTGTTCTAATCAAAGAAGCAAAAAGAAGAAAAAACAACAAAACAATTACACAATAAATAAATAACAGAGAGTAACAGCATAAAAACAGGAAACACAACCCTCCACAATAGTTAGTGCAACAGAAAATGGAAATTTTAAAACTCAAGCAGTCTGAGTTTTCACAGTCTCAAAGTGAAAGCAAATCTCTTGTAGTTCATGAAAGGTCAGTATTAACTCTGAAGCACAGCTTTCTGCGACAGGAAGTCAGAAAAGTAACAGCTTCAAAGAATATTGACAAATGTTTGTGCATGAATGACATTTTAACTTTGAATTCTGATGTTTTGGTTTCATTTGGCTCCTTCCTGAAGATTTCTCTCTTATCAGTTTGCTATAATAAATCAGGTAAATTTAAGCACAACCACAGCTTGTCGTCTCTTTGATGGGTCAAGTGTTAAAGTTATTTAGTAATCCTGTGAAGGAGCATCCGGCTACCTTCCAGAGAACAACAGGAGGATGTTTGTCTCATTGTATTGAAGTATGAAAAACCCCTCAGGCATCCAGAGCTGAAAAATTAAACAGGAAATCTGCTGCTCACCTGCAAGAGAATCTGCTGCTGCTTCTGTCTGTAGGAGTTATGAGATGTAACCAAAACGATGTTCAGAGTGTGAAAACCGGCTGTTTGTTTGGTCGAAAGCCAACTAGAGCCACAGGTTCAAAAAGGGCAAAGAGAAGAAATGTCATAACAAATAAACTCCGCCTCTTTCATAACTTCCTGCTTCAAAATCAGCTGAAACATTTGTTTATCTCTAAAACTGATGGACAACATGAAAAAACAAATGGTGTTAAAAAAAGGTTATTCTGTCAGAAAATGAAAACCAGCATCAGTATGAGAGAGTTTCTGTCAGTGATCTGGATCTGTTGTGTTTCTCTCTCATGGAGCTGGAGGTTTCCATCGGTGGGCGGGGCTTAGCAGTTCACCTGCTCTCTGTCAGCCAATCAGCAGCAGCGGAGGAGGAGCTGGCTGTTTCTCATTCGATATCCTGACTGTTGGCCTTTCCTCCTCTGACTGGTTCCTTGTTATTTTCTACCAGCGTTGTCTTTGCTCCCAGTTTATTGTGGTTTCATTTCAGAGTTTACATCCTGAGTTTCTCTTTTACTTTTATGGCAGCTGCCAAACAACTTTAAGGTGATTTACCTCCACTTAAGGTTGGAGTGCACTGTAAACGACCTTTATTGTCCCTCAGTGGGGAAGTTAAGGTGAAAAAGCAACAAAGTTAAAACATGCACATTTACAAAAAAATAAGAGCAACTTACTGTATAGTTTACAGCACCAGACAATACGATGCAGTTATTTAAAATGTTATATTGGAAGTCAGACATTATAAAAATTAAATGTGTAAAATGTGCATGAGTGTTTCTGCATACAAAGGAAAGGAGAGGTGGTGAACTTTGTTTTTTAACAGATTGGGTTGATTGATACAATGGATGTGAAAGTGTCATTTATCTCAGGGCTTCTGAACTTTACCGTGCCGCGATGGGCCCCAAACAGCAGATAATGCTACGATAAAAAACATGATCATTTTATATTAATCCCTTCAACTTTTATTTAATCTCTACAGTTTGTTTTTTGCAGCCACAGCAGCCCCTTTTCTTGTCAGAAACTTTTTCATTTCTAGTTTTCAGCAGCTTGATGAATGAACTAATCAGAAAAATGAGCATTTTAAACATCATTTTCTTAAATTTACCCTCTTATGGACAACAACGGCCATTTCTATCTTCTATTTCCATCTTAAGTTATTTTAATGTATATTCTGTAATTGTGATTGAAAAACATTACATTTATAAAAAAAATATTTAGAATGTAAAACTTTATTGGATGTATTTTAATTGTTTTTCATCTTCCTCCCAAGTTTCTGAGACGGAGCAAGAGGATAAATATCCATATTTTTTTTTTTTACCTGAAGCGATTATGAAAAGCAGACCTTGTTTAAATAAACAATAGTAATAACTTTGCAATTTTCTGTCTTTTAGAATAAGCAAATGCACCCCACAAGACTGAGAACACACCTCAAGTTAATGTAAGTATTTTATTACATTTGTTCATAGGACAACACTGAATATATGACATTTGTACAGAACGTAAAGCAGTCAGCTGGTTTACCAGTGTAGCAACTAGTACTAAACTACTGGCAACTAAAGTGAGTACATCTCAGTGAAAATGTCAGACATTTGCCTGATTAGCCCTCCATTCCTTCCTCAGTAGCTCCATTACAAATGTGTGAAAACTCTGTCGATATTGCGCTAATTGCACTAAGGTGTGCTAGAGTTATTGTTATTGCTCTTACATACTTTTCAAAATGCCCCTGATATCACAGAACTCTCTGAGGTAGCCGGTGTTACGGTCGAGAGTTTCTCCGGTCAATCCGAGCTTTTTAGCTACGTTTTCATTGTCCAGGTTTACCTTTTCCCTTTCCTGACTTTTTCTTTTCAGCTTTTGGTTTCTTCTCTTTAACACTGAGTCCTTCCATCTTCTCTTTCAGACCTGCAGAGTCTGACCTCTGACCTGCAGAGGAAGTAAATATGTTCCTTATTCACACAGCAAGATCTGCGCTCAGGTAAGAGTCATGAAATCAATCAATCAAGTTTATTTGTATAGCACCTTCAGCAACAAGACATTTCAAAGTGTTTTACATCATAAAACAAAAAATACGAAGTCATAGAAAACACAATTAAACCATTACATTTTCTCAAGTGTCATCGTTACACATCAGATTATTGATTAATGTTTCATTGATTATGTTTCAAAAGCAGCTCTAGCAGTTGAGTTTTTACTCTAGATTTAAAGGGACTCAGTGTTTTGGCTGTTATGCAGTTTTCTGGAAGTCTGTTCCAGATTTGTATTGCATAGAAGCTGAATGCTGCTTCTCCATGTTTAGTTCTGGTTCTGGATGCAGAGCAGAACCAGAACCAGGTCTGGAATATTGATGCAGCAGACCTTGAATGTATTGCGGTGCTAAACTGTTCAGTGATTTATAAACTACCAGCAGTATTTTAAAGTCTCTTCTCTCAGTGAAGGACTGTAGAACTGGGAGATGAGCTCCATCTTCCCGGTTTTAGTCAGAATGCCAGCAGCAGCATTTTGGATCAGCAGCATTTTGACTTTTCATTCAGACCTGTGAAACGCTGTTAACTGTTATAAACACATGGATGAGTTTCTCTAATGCTGAGACATTAGTCCTCTGATCCTGGAAATGTTCTTCAAGTGGTAGAAGACTGACTTTGTAACCATCTTTATATGGCTCTGAAGGTTCAGGTCAGAGGTCAGCTGGATCTCTAGTTTCCCGCTGTAATAACTGAAGCTGACTCTAGATCATTCCTCTTTTTGTCCAAAGTAAATAACTTCAGTTTTGTTTCTATTCAGCTGCAGAAAGTTCTGGCACATTTATATGTTCTAAGCTCCCAAGACAATGAAAGAACAGGAGCTTAAATTCTGAGATGTGGGTGGAAATGGCAGATCAGATGAGCTAATCAGAGGAGAAGTAGAGCAGCTGTGGCCGATGGAAACTGAGGGAGGGAGACTAATAAACTAAAACTCAAAAGCAGCGACAACCCAAAAGGAAAAAGACCAACACAGATCTAAGAAAAATCAAAAACAAAACTTCATCAAAAACAATATATTTTTTAAATCAACGTGTTTCCATTTAGACAGAGGCAGCTAGAAGTGGCTCTCGCCGAGTATATTAAACAATGAAACTTTTCCCTGTTTGCTCTGTGCCCCTGTGAAAAACACCAACTGGTGAATGTGGTCTGGAGCTGCCACTGAGTTAAGATGAGGAAATGAGCTGCCTTGAATGTTTGTGTTAGGATTTTGTGGTCGGATTCAGTTTAAACTGCAACAATTTCCTTTAAAAATTATACAATTAATAACAAATTTACATGGGATTTCTTTAAATTAGTTTTATTTAGTATTAGTTGATCCTTTTCATCTATTCACAGAATAAAAATGAGTGGTTATTGTTGTGCAGAGAGCTTACCATCCTTTTTTCCAAGCAGCTCCACCTCCACTGGATAATGGTCGCTTATGCTCAGGGCCTAAAGCAAGAAGTCATGAAACAATATGACGATTATTAAAGCTTCTTTTGTAAATCTGGACTAGAAGGGTATAAGTACAAATACTGAAAATATTTGCTCCATTATCACAAATAAAATGTTTTGCTTCTAACTGTAATAGTTTCTGTGCTATTTATAGAAAAAAAAAATTTTGAAACAAGTTATGAGGCACATGGAGGGTTGTTTCTATGATCCACAGTCTCAAACTTATTCAAACAAGTTCTTATCTCAATGTTTTCTGTGTTTAATGCTTTTGTTTGTCTGCAAATGATAGTTTTTCTTTATCATTTAAATCAGATTATTTATTTTCTGAGTAAACTAGCAGCTGCTCTTCAGCTTGTGAAAATAACAAACCTGCTCGTCGGAGAGCTCGTATTCCTCCTGGAAGTTGAAGGCCTTAGCAGAATTTTCAACGACAGCCTGAAGCATTTTGTCTCCGTAAACAACGATCCTGAACCAGGAGAAGAAGAATTAAACAGCAGGGAGTCGCAGGATGCGATAACATCTCACACCTTCTCACATCACTCAGAAAATAAACTACATATTCTGCTTTGGTATTTATAATGATGTCCTCTGCTTACACCTTGGATTTATGAATTTTTACGTTCATTCTGAGAAGTGGACGGTTTTTATGCACCTGTCGTATGTGTTGGTGTTTTTGGTGCTGGCAGTTGTGTCCACATCGTCTCCGATCAGCCAGTGGAAGTTCTTGTCGTTGCGGATTCGGATGGTTTTCATCTCCTTCTTTGTAACATACGAGCCGTCGGCATTAAAGTCGCCCAGGATCATCACATTCTGCAGCGGAGAGACAGGAAACCTTTAAGGGTGTTAAACTGAGTACCTGGTGAAAGCATTGCGCCCAAAGTTTAAAAAAAAATTCTAACAAAGTGGGCGGAGCCAAGGGACAACAAGGGGCGGAGCCAGAGACTGCAGCCAGGAAGAAAGAAGCTCTGGTTCCTAATTATTGACATTATCCATATACAGTATTAGTCAAAAGTGACCAGTAACTTTTGGAATAGAAAGTTGACCTGAGAGGTCTCTAAACGACGGTGTAGTAGGACCATCATAGATATAAAAAAAAGTAAGTTTCTGCCAAGAAACGAGGAAAATTTCCAAAAGGCAAAATTTTCAACTTTGAGAAATTTTCATGTTGTTTTTTTTCTAGAAAATGTCTGAGACTAATAAAAAAAAATCTAACAAATTTTTTATTTTGAAATTCAGGAATGTTCTTGTTTTTTTTTCTTGAAAATTTCTGAGGTTAATCTAAAAATTTCAGTTTTTACGTAGAAAATGTTGAACTTTTCAAACTCAGAAATTTCCTTATTTTTTATAGAACATTTCTGAGATTATTCTCAAAATTTGTCAGTATTTTGGCAGAAATTTACTCATTTTTTTAATGTACAAATGTCGCTAACATGTCATCGTAATTAAGAGGCTCCTCAGACTTCTCTTGTAACTTTTGATCACAAACGTAACCAGCAACTTTTCTCTGCTGTTAGGGACGTTTACACGACGAAGGGAGCCTCCAGCGCCCCCTGCAGTCCCTCCCGTTTCCCAGCAGTGCAGTCAGTCGTTATGCAGCAAAACGCCTGCAGTCGCGCAGAGAGGAGAGCCGTTCCACTACAGCCCACATTGCAAATAAATCACACAATCAAAGCTGATTATTGATAAATACTTCCCTTGCTGTTCTAACTCCTGACATAAGAAAATTAGACTTCAATAGTCACTGTTCAACTCAAACAGCTTTAGGCAATATTGTGGAGAATTAAACAAATTTACTTAAAAATGTCTTAAGTTACATCATAATTTCTGCCTGTTTTTTGGGATCTGAGAATTTAACCTTTACTTTGCAACAGTTTTAGTTGTTTTATGACTATAGAATCATAACTGTATTTAGTTTTCTAATTTATAGACTGTATCCTAATATACTTTAATTGACTAATTAAAATCTCAAACAGCTAATCAGTTTCATTTTCCTTCTGTTTAATGTTTCAACTCCTTCACGTTATGACAGCATTAGTCGGTTTTTGTCTAGTTTGAGTCCTTACCTCAGTCTCCCACATATCCTTAACGTGTAGGAAGAGGTCGTAGAGTTTATCCAGCTCCTTCTCCGCGCCCTTTGGTGTGATGTGAACTGGGATCATCACCAGATCTTCCAGAACTGTCAAGACAACCAGACAGGAATCAGGTTAAGTTTATAATTATTTAACTTTGACCTAGTAGAGTTTCAACTGTGTTTGTATATATTGTTATGTTTCACCTGTGTGCGGGCAGCTGAATCGGAGGATGTACGGATCTCTGTTAATGTCATCCTGTCCTTCAGTCTTCTGATTGTCAGACTGGTACCAGTCCACCAGTGTAACCTGATCAGCCCTAATAACAAATATTGAGTTTAAAACAAAACATTTTCACCTCCCTTAAAAAAGAAAAATAAAACAAAAATCACCTGTTTCATGCGAACTCATTAACTAAAAATAACAAAAACTGAAATTGATAACTAAAACTGTTAAAGGAAAGGTTAAATTCTCATTAACTGAAATAAATAAAAATTATAATTAGCAGGGAAAAACAATAAGCATCCAGGACTTTATTGTGCATTTATAAAACTAAGTAAGACGTACTGAAATTAGACCTAAGATATTCTTTGTTTATGTTTATGAATCTATTTCCAGCCTCTCAAACTGAGGTGAAATTTATTTATTTTTTCCCTCCACACCAACAGTTTTCGTCAGGTGTCAAATTGCGGCACTCCATCCTCCTCCTGCTGGCTGCGTCAGTCCACCATATGGCAACAACACAGTTCAGAAAAATGTAAATGTACGTAACTGAGACGTTTTTTAAAAATAATGTTGAGTATTCACTACCCAACTGATGTATAAATAATCACAATACTTTCACCTTTTTGAATTCTGCACCTAAAAATGAAAGTATGAAAAAGCTCAAACTACCAGAACTAATACAGACTGAACTAAAACTTAACAATATTTAACAAATAACTCATAAAAAGCAGCAAACACATCCTAAAAACGTATTAAAACTAAGTAAATTACACAAAAAGTCGCAACAAAATAAAACTGAACTATAATGAAAAAACCAAAACAATTATAACTGGTTCTAGGATAACATCTTCAGTTTAAATAAACTGATATATTTGTTCAGATCAGACAGATTTTATTTTCTCATCTTTACTGGCAGTTTGTGAATGAATTATCCTCCTAATGAATGAATGAATGAATGAATGAGCTGTGACCTGTACAGGAACAGGAACTGCTCCTTGTAGCCGGTTCTGCCCAGCCGAGTGCTGATCCGCTTCTCGTACTGATGTTCCCTGTGCAAAACGCACAGAAACGTGTTTTCATCATAAAACTTTCCTTCAGGGAAAAGCAGGGGCTGAAACAGGTTCAACTGAAGCTCAACCTTTGTGGCCTGTAAGACGGACTGTGGTGGAAACAGTCTATTACAGATGAATGCGGTGATGTTTTAGACTTTTACTGACTTGTTGAGAGCTTTCATCAGAGCATCCACGGCCTTCCCGCTCTCGTCCACAACCTCCAGGATCACAATGATGTCATAACGAGAAATAATCTGACAGAAAGACAACTGAGCGAGTTTAGTTCATCAGATTTCATCAAACAGGTTGAAATCATTAATATATTCATGTCAATATTTCCTTTAAACCCATTTTACCAAAGCAGAAATCAAACCACCAGGTGTTTTTCTGCCTAAGAATGAAGTTGTGTTTTTACCTGAACCAGGACCTTCAGAACATCTGGGTCCGACGCTTTATTCCGTCCAAACCTCTGAATGTTAAACGCTGCGATTTTCATGGTGGCTGAAAGTTTAGAAGAAACTTTAAATCAATTGTTACGTTACAGAAACTAAATCTGGATTTTTGGAAAACCCAGACCAAACCTGTCGCCGCTGAAAAACTGTCCTGGGAACAACAAGGGCGGGTTTGTTGTTTCTGCCGTGGACTTCTTTTGTTTGCTGGTTTTAGTAAAGCAGTAATTCTCGGTATTTTTGCATTTGCAGGATTCATGGAAATCGTGTTTTTGTTGCAATTAACTGATGCGTCTGCACATGGCTGCAGGCCAAGGCAAACAGACACTCTTTCCATTAAAACCAGTTTGAACTTACTCAGTTTGTCTGGTCCAGTTTTATCTTGCGTTGCTGAAGAGAAAAGATTCAAGATAAACTTGGTATTTCTCATGTTCTAATAAGAGTTTTTATAACTTCCTTTTTCCATTTTCCTCATGCTATAAGTGAGATAATCTGCCAGCAGGACTAATACTTTCTCATCAATATTAAGAAATTGCTGACTTGAAACAAACTTCTATATTTTGCCATAAAATTACTTATGAGTTAGTTTTGTCCTGTTTCAAGTGAACTAAGATATCTGCACTAGAAATTAGATTAAAAATACTTGGTAGGATTTTGTGTTTTTGCAGTAATGCTAGAAAAGATGCTGCATATAGGTACATATTTATTACCTCTTTCACTTTTATCACAATAAATACCACAAAATATCATGTTGACATCTAAGTGCATATCGCCCATCCCTTGTTTAAACTACTACTACTAAAATATTGTCTGATGTGGCTTCTTCAGCATGCCTCAGTGAAATAACTGCACTGAGGATGTAATTTAGCCTTTTGATTCGGGTTTGTTTTGTTCTGATCTGGTTCTGAAGTCGCTCTGCTCTAGAGAAAAATAAAACAGGAAGGTTGTTTCTCACCTGCAGGAGAATCTGCTGTGTGTCCAGAGGAGTTGAATAAATGTTGCAGACTTCACTATATATTGTGTGAAAAGCGGCTATTTGATTGGTCTAGAGTCAACCAATGGCAGGTTTAAAACAGACGGAGAGCTGAAACGTTGTAACAAATAATCCCGCCCTTTTATTTTATTCCTACTCAAACTTCTGTTTGTCTCTAAACATAAACTTGATCTGTCACATAAATTCCTTTTATATAGTAAAATGTAAATAAAGGTTTGAACAGAACATAGAATTAGACAAATTGCACTGTAAGTATTTATTAGCAATAAATGTAGCCATATTACATTGAATTAGCATAGCACAACTGTTTTAATGTCAGTTATGTCAAATGTCAGTGAGTTATAATAAAATAAGACAACGGCACCGAGAAACCAGCTCCATTACACTTTAAATAACAGATATCATAACTTTATATTTAAATGAAAAACTAAACATTCATGTCAGTCTTAAACCACAGAAGCTTTAAGAAAAATCCACAGAAATGATTTGATATTGTTCAGTTTAACATGTTTCAGCCAAAATTTCAAGAACAAAACCCTAAAAAAAAAGAAAAATAATAACTTCAAGTAAATAACGATCTGACGAACCTGGAGAACTTTTACCAAGGTTTTGACACGTAAAATGAAATAATATGAAAATCTGAGTCAATATTGTTACCCTATTGACATGAACCAACATTATATAAATAAAACGCATCCCACAACATAAATGGTAATAAGACGGAAATAAAGATGGTTTAATGTCAGTGCTTTTGTATTTATCAGATTGATATGCTGAATAAAGAATATATGTAAACGGTGGAAACCGTCTTAGCAGAAACTAACAGTCTTCCTTATTGCTGCAATTTGGCCTTCAGCCAATCAGCGCCAAGGAAAAGAAATGCCGCTCCTGGATTGGCTGCTGCTCAAACGGCAGCCAATAGCAAGTCAAGTACCAATTGACTTGCTATTGGCTGCAAGTCAATCACATCTAAAAGCTGTATTTCAGCTTTTAGACGTGATTGGTTAAAAAATGAGTGAACAGATTTTCAGAATAATTTACACAATTCTAAAAAATGAATGTGAAAAATATCTGAAGATTTTTCTATGGAAAAGAGAAAACTAAAAACATATCATCATCATCTAGATTCAACAAAGCCAGGAATAAGTTGAGTAACAATGTCGATTTTAACACAGCAAGTGTGCAAAATTATTGTTACGTTTTGAATCTACATCCATTTGCTACAAAAATATATAATTTTATTTCAATGTGACTTTTCAAACTCAGAAATTCCTTGTTTTTTTCTTCAGAAAATTTCCTATTTTAATCTAAAAATTTTTGAGTTCTTTACTCTCCCCATCACTGAGTCTCCTCCCATCACTGAAGCTCCGCCCATCACTGAAGCTCCGCCCATCACCGAAGCCCCGCCCATCACAGAGTCTCCTCCCATCACTGAAGCTCCGCCCATCATTGGCCCACAGAGGCAGAAACTGGTTTTGTTAATATTTTCAGTGTTTTCTCCTTCTTGATGCTGAAAAAAGGAAACAGTTTCTCAGTAAAGCAGTGGCTGAAGGTGTGGATGTGGCCGTCGGTATCGGCATCAGAGAACGACAGCTTCCCCCTCTCCCAGTCCAGATGGACTCGGATCCTGCGGGGCGGCTTGACAGACAGAACCGAACTTCTCCCTGGAGGGAAGAAGGCCAGAAAGGCGCCGTCTGAACCGATCCTCCACGACCCCGACCCAACGGACTCCTTCCTGTCCGCAGACTCCGCCACCACGCCCACCTCCCAGCCACTGCCGTCTCCGACCTCAACCTCCCAGCTGTGCGACCCAGAAGTGAACCCGTCCGAGCCGAGCACGGCGCGGCACCAGCTGAACCGCTCCGGGTTGTTCGGCAGCTTGAGCCGCTCTCCGTGCGTCGCGGCGCTCAGGTCGTCGGCCGGGTTCAGCTCGGGGTGAGCCGTGTTTGGGTCCAGAACCACGGCGGAGAAGCAGACGGCCGCCTTCATCTGGGTCCAGATGTTGAAGCTCAGGTTGCCCAGATGTTTGGCCACGTCCAGCAGGGCGCCGGCGGACAGTGCCGGTTTCTCCTGCAGGTGGCGCTGTTCCGCTGTTTTTAAGGCAGCTTTGTAGGATTGCAGGAAGGAAACGCTCTCAGCCTTCAGCTGCTTCTCCGTCTCTCTGATGGTGTTGGAGAGATCTGAGATAATCCTGCTGAGAGCTTCAGATTCCTCCCTCATCGCTTTGCTTTTCTGCCGCTCTTCCTCCCTCAGCGTGGCGATGCGGGCCTCCTCTTCCTCCTGCAGAAGCTGGTGAAACTTCCTGATCTGATCCCGGATCTGCTTCTCTGTGTTTCTGCTCTGGCTCTTGATGTGTTTGGCGTTTTGGTCACAGCTCCCCTTCGCCTCTTCGAAGAGCTTCAGCTTTTCCCGCAGAGCCGTGAGGGACTCCCGGACCTCCTCCCTGTGCTCCTCCGCTGCCTCGTCGATGGGTCTAAACCTGTGGTTGCTGTGAGCTTTGGAGTCCCTGCAGACGACGCAGACGGACTGCTGGTGGTCCAGGCAGAACAGCTTTAGCTTCTCGTTGTGCTGGCTGCACAGACCCGGCTCCACTCCTTCAGAGAGCTTTGTTTTTTCTGCTAAACACAGATTCTTCAAAGCCAAGCTGATGGGTGGGTTGCTCAGAGGCCTTTCCTTGCAAACCGGACACTCGTTCATTTGTTTTTCCCTCCACCAGGACTGAACGCAGGCTTGACAGAAGCTGTGGCTGCATGACAGAACCACAGGATCCGTGAAGATTTCGTGGCAGATGGTGCAGAAAAGATCCTTCTCAGACCTGGAAGCCATTTTCTCTCTGCGAGAAGCTGCAAACAGATCAAACAAAAAGTTAAATCAGGAAGTTTTTCTGCTGCTAAACATTTCCTGCCCTGATTTACCTCGTCTCTCTTCCTGTTCCTGAGATTAATTTAAAAGTGAATCTGTTTCAGGCAGCAGAGAAAACAGCAGCTGTTCTTTTGTTTGAGATTAGAGGTGGAGCCGCTCCAGATTTTTATTTTCACTTTCTCTTTCTTCTTCTTCTCGCCCCTTTATGGTGGTTGGCAACCAACGTTAAGGTTTATTACCACCACCTGAGATTAGAGTGCACTGTAAACTGTAACATTACATTTAATTGTAAAAGTGAACATAACTTGTAATTCTCAATCTTTGGGGTATATGAAAACAGATTTACTTAAATCCTCTCAAACTAGCTGCCTCAAACGAATCAATTACTAAAACTTATAAAAACAAGTAAAATGATAACTTTTAAGGATTGCAAACCTAAATTAACTTGATAAATTCAGTTTAGTTGTGCATAAACTAAATGGCAAAGACATCTTGACATTATTATATGTGAATAATTATTTGGTCAAAACTTTTCCATGGTAAACAATATTAAACTGATATAAAGTGTTATTCTCAGCAAAATTCATGTCATCAGAGCATACTTTATTTTTCGACACTGAAATCAGTTGTATAAATGTATTTTCTAGAAAAAAACTGAAATTTTCTGAGCTCATTAAGTTTCCAAAAATTTCCAAAAGTCATAAATGTTCATCTTAACGAGCTCAACTTTTAAAAAAATATAAAATAATTTAGACTTTTGGAGCTCAGACATTTCCAGGTCTTTTTATAGAAAGCTTCTGAGATTAATCTCAGAAATTTCAGTTTTTTGACAATAGTGTTTTTTTGCAGTGTGTTTTTAGCAGGACTTGTTTCCCACTGTTCCAGTATATTTTTACTTTCGGTTTCAGGACAGTCTGATAAATGAGCTGCCACTCAGCAGAGACGGATTATCTCGTTGTGTCAACACGTCTTTCATGGGAGGGGAACTGAAGCAAACAGGCGAGTTCAGACCTGCAGGTGGAAAAATCCAATGTTTTCGTTTCAGGGAAAAACACGGAAGGCGACAGGCGTGTTTTAGAAAGATTAGACACATTTTTACCTACGCCAGGTTTCTAAAGAACTAAATAAAACGGATATAGGTGTGTTTGGATGAGGCATTGTTGCACATTGTTTCCCCCTCCTTCAGGGTTTTTTAATTTCAGGTTTTTTTAGTCACAGTGAAATGTTTTGGTTCATTAAAAGGCCGTTAACTGACCAAAGTCTGAGGGAAAAAGTATTTATGATTGTAGCTGATGAGTCTTTAAATCAGATCTGCTCTGCCGAATTGCTTGAATTCAGCAGCAATGGAAACTTTACTGCATAAAAAACAAGTTCAAGAACAGACTGACTAACTCCAGACTTTGACTAGGCCACTCCAAAAAAAAATTTCTTATTTGCTAAAATTAATTAATTAATTTATTGCAGTCATATTTATGTAAATAATACATTTTAAAACCTAGAATGCAGCAGCTTACCAACTATAAGCAATTTCTCTTTGGAGATCAATGAAGTCTATTCTGTTCCATTTTATTCTATTCTATCATAATTTCTATTCTGTTCAAGTTTATTCTTAAATGATTAATTAATTGAGTATAAATGAACGCTGCTTCAGGCTCTGTTATTCTTCCAAACCTGCAGTAATCATTTGCGGCTCCCTGCAGGTATTTTTAGATAAACTCGTATATAAAGTTCATTATTTCTGCGGAGAGCAAAAGGCCTGAGTGAAGCAGGATTGTTGGTTCCAACGCCTGAGGTATATCATTTAATAGCTGCTTGGCTTTGTTCCCTGTTATTACTGTTTAATTACAACACCTGTAATGTTTTCATGCGTTTTTCTTCAGATGTTTGCCAAGGCTGCAGCTCTGGGACAATCGGTCGGATTTCTCTGGATTAGAGAGTTTTCTTTAGGTTTATTTTTGTCGTAACTGAGGTTTGCACATTAAATTATGAGATTATCCTTCCACATACAGAGAAAACTGGACTATGGCATATATTTGACACTTTTAATGCTTTGTTCTTTTAATTTTTCTTATTTTTAATTAGTCTTACTTTGAGTTTTTCTACTGCATCTCTCATTCTATGAAGAGAGGAAAGTGCCAAATTACAATAAATAAATAACTTGTAAAATAATTATTGAAATGTGTCATTAATTTCTTAAAAATGTAAATATAGAAATTTAACAAATATAATTAATTCTATGTTCCTCAGTTAAATTTATTTTTTTCTTTCATTTTAAAAACTAGATATAATTATCTGATATAATAAATTATTTCATGTTCTGGTCCTGAAGCACATAGTTATTTATTTAGTATATTATTGTTTCTTATAGCTATTTCTGCATTTCCAGTGAAAATATTGACCTAAGAGTCATAGGAAACCTGGAACAAGTTCCTTTTATTTTGTGTTTGAAGCGGCCAATCAGACGTCAGAGTTTCTATAGAAGTATCCAATCAGACGTCAGCGTCTGCCCTAATCCCACCCCCTGAGCTTGATGAGTGAAGATGACAGTTTAAATTGTTATATTGTGGTTCAGTGGAGGAGCAGAAAATAATTTTAAATTAAACTATTTATTTATTTGGCACTTTTCACTCTCCGTACTTTGTTACTGTAGTTACAAAACCCTAAACTCTGCTCACTTGAGTACTCTTTGTGTTTGCCAGTTTCTTTTAAAGTTATAGTCACATATTTTTTCACCACAAAGCAGATAAATGAATAAAACATTAAAACATTAACATAAATATAAATTTCTGCCCACTTTAGACAAAGGTTAATACTTGAGAGATGATATTTTGATGCATTTTTATGGCACTGATGACATCACTGTTGCCAGCAAACGAAAGGTGACCCGGCCAGACAAAACGAACCACACCCTCATTCTTCTCATGTGCAACAACAAATTTCTGTCTCCATGAACCAGTTTGCTGATTGGTTTTGTTTTTTTTGTAACTATAGTCTTGGCGATAAAATTAGCATTTGTGTGTTTTACAAAGTGTTACTGCATGGAGTTAAAATAAACACTCTGAAAGCCAGTTCTTATGCTTAAATAAAACAATGTAATGGTTAAAAGAAAACAATGTCCTGTGTGCAGACGGGCTAGCTAAAGAGTAATTTGGAAAACAAGTCAACAAAAACAAACATCTAAAAGTAGAATAAAACTTCAATTCAGTCGAAAGCAACTACTATTATAAAAAGCTACTAAAACCAGTAGAATAAAAAATAAATAAGACTAAATCTGAAGAGTTACTAGGGTGAATAATGATTATTTTAGTAATCGATTATTCTGACAATTAATCGATTAATTGTCACATTGTGTAGATTTTTCATGTAACCACTGAAGCCTATTTTGCACAATATTGACAAATATATGAAAAGTATTGCAAATAAATAAATAAATTATTTTTCAATTATTCAATCACCATGTTAGTTGTCGATTATTTCAAGATTCGATTTGAATATGTATATATATTGCTAAAAAAATAAAGGGAACATTTGACTTTAATTTTGTGTGTGGCTCCAAATCCAGGCCTCCATTGGTTAATAAATTTGATTTCCATTGATGATTTTTGTGTGATTTTGTTGTCAGCACATTCAACTTTGTACAGAACAAAGTATTCAATGAGAATATTTCATTCATTCAGATCTAGGATGTGTTATTTGAGTGTTCCCTTTATTTTTTTGAGCAGTGTATATTCATAGTATTCATAGGAGCCTCAGTTCATAAAAACATCTAAACTCTCATATTTATGCTCCATTTCTCTCAGATCCTGACAGAAACCATCATTTTAATTCATCAGATTGTGTTTTTAAAGTTGTTCATCACTTCTAGAGTCAATCTGATCTTTCACAGGTTTCCAAACAGGAAGTTATTAAAGGGGGCGGGGCTTATTTGCTCTGACATTCCTGCTTGGCTGTCGCCCAATCAGCCGGTTTTCATTCTGAACGTTGTTTTGGTTGTAACTCATAACTCCCTTCATACTGGACTCTTCAACATCTGCCGCAGTCGTCCTCATCTGAGTTCATTGTAACTTAATTTTTATACATTTTCGGACTCGAGCAGCAGCAGATTCTGCAGGTGAGAAACAAATTTCCTGCTTTTTGTTTTTCCCTTCAGCTCTAAATGCCTGAGAGGCTTTTCAGACCTCAGGACAATGAAACAGCCGTCCTCCTTTTGTACTCTGGAAGAAAACCGGCTGATCCCTCTCAAAATTAGTTAAAGGGAAACTTCTGAAGAAGAAAGCCTGTTTCACTTATTTTACTTAACTTATGATATTTAATTTAGCAGAAACCAAATCAACAAAATGCTTCTGCAACCCTCAGAGCATAAGTGATCTTTTCTCCCACAGTAACCTGAAACCAAAATGTATTTATTCAAAGATAAAGTGACTTTAAGGTCTAAAACGTTTAAAAAGTCGTTGGTTATTAAAGAACTGTGGCCTGTTTTAATCATTGTATCATAAAAGCTGCAAGTAGAAATGTTTTATTAATGTTTTCACCACATATGTTCGAGACTAAACCTCTTATTGTCAGCAAGCAGCAGGATATTAACATTTTTATTGTTAATTTATCATTATAAATTGAACTACAAGTATAAACTAATATATAAGTGTAAAAAATTACATTTCAGCACATTAGTAAACACCTCATGTTTACTAATGTGTCTTCACACTTCTAGATTTCAAAGGAAATACTTTAATAATTGTTTCATAAATGGTGTAAGTAGAAATGTTTTCACCAAATATGTTCAAGATTTGGCCTCTTTATTTCAGCAAACAGCAGAAAATTTACATTTTATTGTTAATTTATGATTATAAACTGAGATACTTGTGTAAACTATCAAATATATTAAAATGAGTTCTAAAATGTTGCATTTTACATAACATGTCATGCTTACTAATGTGTCGTTAAGCTTCTGGTACTTTTATCTTAATCTCCTTCCTTAAATGACAGTAATCATGATGAAACTCGTCAAAAATATTAAAACCCTGAAAATAGTTATTTAAAACAAATTCAACCTTCACACAACTTCATGAAGACAGAAAAGTTTAAACACGGTTGGCTCAGATGAATGTCAGTATTTTTCCAGCTCTTATCTGTAATCATTTGCAGCTGCTGATCGTAAATAAAAAGGATCAAAAGCCCTGAAATCTGACTCTTTGTGTGTGAAATGGTTTTTATACGTCGTTTAACTCTGAGGTTTACAGTCGCTTTAGTGAACCTGGACTCTAATTTACAGCTTCATTTAAGAAATGAATCATCTAATCTGAGGTCAGAAGGTCATTTATTCAACCTGTTTGGACTCTTTAATCCCATCACTTCAATTTTCTCAAAACTTTCCACTTGTAATCCTCAGACAGCAGCAGAGACATTAGACACGTTTTCCTGTGGAGGAAACCACAGGAAATGCCGTTTCCTGAGTCTTGATGCTTCCATTCAGGACATTTTAGGAGCAACAACCCGAATCGTTTTGGCTCCTTACGTAAAGTGGAAAGTTCCTCTAAACCTGATCTGAGAGCGTCAGACTTTTTGTCTGTTTTTGAAGCAACACATGCGTTTACTAGAAAAGCTGCTGCTGTTCTAAGTTCCTGTCATTAAAAGCTGCGCTACAGAATAAACATGAACAACAAGATGGGATTTTCTCTAAGTTACACTTTTTCAGATTGGGTTTTAATTAGTTTTGTTTTGTTTTATGTCTCATGTATGCTGTTTTATTGTCTGTCTTATTGTTTTTTGGGGGGTTTCTGAAGGTGCTATGTAAATAAAGTTTATTTACTTACATTTTGGCACTAAAGAAGTTTTTCTGAGCCTCTAGTAAAGAAAAATGTGTTTAGCTTGTATTCAATAATAGAGCTGTACAATAGGATATACTGTGAACCTATTAAGGGTTAAGTAAGTATAATTTAGATATTTCTATCACAGATACTGAATGAAAAAATGTTAACTGATATTTGTGGTAAAATATAATTTTATTTGTACAAAAAAGGAGTTCAGGACCAGAACATGAAATGATAAAATCTGCATATTCTTGACATTACCTCTAAAAGTGTTTATAGCTGCCAATTTTAGAAGTTAACATATACCTCAACATGCGATGCTGCATAAGGTAACATTTAGCTTACTTAGCTCTGCTGAACTGAGTGACAAGAAAAATACAAACTTTACTGATATTCCACTAATGTCCAAAAAATTTAACAATTTCTGCGTTTTGACAGAACAGCAAACTTCATTAAAATCACATGTGAATAAATTTAACGCGATAAGTTATTAAAAACACGCTGCCCCATCACCTGCCCAACACTTCCTGTCGGTTTTTTTGTCGTTTCCGTCAGTAGTAACCTCCAGTTATTGATCACTTGACTCATTTGATGACTTTTACGAAATACAACAGAGAATTTTTTTTTTCCAAATTTTGTAAAATGTTTTCATTAAGCTGATTTATTTTTGTAATTCCAATTTGTGCAATTGTAAGAACGCAGCTAGTGTCTGGATTAGTGATTATGTTTTCTGATTATGTTAGGAAATACCTGTCTCCCACATTCAGCAGATAGAAAGTTTCAGGCGTTTAGAAGTGATTAAAAAGCCCCAAAAGGGGAATAAAGGCAACCAGAGACCCTGGAGGTTCCTCTGTCCTGTTCTGTCTTGTCTGGTTTGTCTAAATGCAGGAAGTCGGTTGCATAACCGACATTGAGGCATTAGTGAAGCTGGAGGAAATTTCCATCCATTTCTGCTGCTTCTGACCCAATCTCTCCCAGCTCAAAGGATCCATCAGGAGGCCTTTTATATTCAGTCTAATCAGGCATGTTGGTTTTGACTCTTTTCAAATAATCCTGAAGATGTGAGTGAAAAATCTAATCACTCCAGAACTTGAAACAGCAGGTTTATCTGAAATCGTTCATGTTTTACAGCGATGTCGAGCAGGAAATCTGTGAAAGCTCTTCAGCAGTTTCCAAGATAAAACTAGTTGAGACAAAGCCGACATGCGATCCGACAGCTTGAGCTGATCTTAGAGATAAGAGCGTCTGCTTGTTTTCTGTAGCAGCATCGACTGATCGCAGCTAAAAACCTGCTGGACCACTTCCATGAATCATGCAGATGCAGAAACACAGAGAATTAGTGCGTCACAAAAACAAACAAACCGAGTCAGAGACCAGAACCGCCACCCTGCAGAACCGCCACCCTGCTGCATTTCAGTCCTTTTCTGTGTCACTCAGGCAGATTATTCTGCAGATTTTGGTTTTGTTTGTGTCACGCCAGCCTCTTGTGTAAAAAGTACTTCCTGAACTGGAGGAAACTCAGTTCTGAAACCAGAAACAAGAACCGTCAGAACACTTAGAAGTAGTGCTAGACTCTTCAGAACTGATGTTTAAGTCGAGTTTCCTCCATCAGACGAAACCCGGAGCAGAAATACGAGATAAGTGAGGGTTCTGAGAGTCTTCTGACCCAAAGTAAGGCGCTCTTTATCGGACTTATCTGAGGTGGTTCTGGTGAAACTCACAGATCAAAGATGCTTCATTCCTCTCTCCTCCAAGCCTTCCCTTAGATTTAACATTTATTACTATTTATTAAGTCAGAATTATGAACAAAGCTTTGTATTTAAAGCTGCAGTATGTACCTTTATTTAAAAAAAATATTTTTTTACTTATTTACAGTAAAAATATATATATATATACATAAGTACAAAATATATATATTGCACTTTTTAAAATGGTCACCATTTCATGACAGTATGAGACAGATCATCTGTGAAAACATTGATATTGATGGCTATTATTGCCATACAACCAATCAGAGGAAGGAGGCGGGGCTTAGTGCTGTCAATCAACCTCATGAAAACCTTCCTTGGTCTTTAGTGGTCGCGTTAACTAGCATTAGCATTCACAACAGTTTCTGCTCACATGGAGAAGAGAGTGGGGGTGAAGTGGCAAGAAAATGTGCTTGATTGACAGCACTAAGACCCGCCTCCTTCTTCTGATTGGTTGTTTCTAGTTAGCAATGTCTAATAAATAATTTATTATTCTAGTAAATTGTTCTAATAATTTAGTAGAATAAATCAGTTATTTTTAACTGATTATTAATATTAATAGATATATTATTTGTGTTATTTATTTTGCTGATTTTATTTCATTGTCTTTAAATCTGAATGATTTTGTTCTTCTGAAGGTCTGAAAAAACATAAACCTACATCTAATATTAATATTTTAGTAAGAATTGATTGTTACTGAAAAGTCACATTTCATAGATTCATTACACACAGATGTATGTTTTAAAGATTTTATTTCTGTTAATTATGATTTTTTGTTGCTAAAATCAATATTTAAAATCAATAATAAACTTTCTAAAAGCAGAAATGTGGACTTAATGAAAACATATCTAATGCCTGTGTAAAGCTTATTATTGTCAAAAGCTACTTTTAATCAGACAAAAATGGTTCATCTGGACATATAATCTATTTTATTTCATATGACTGTAATTTTCCTTTAAATAAACTTATTTTTGAATCTTTCGGCACTCTAAACCTTCTTCTTATAACAATCACATTTGACACATCACATCGAAAAAGACGATTTAAATTCTTTTTCACTGTATTAGATGTAAACATTTATAATGTTCTTAATTCAGATGGAAATCTGATCAAACATGAACGTGAAAAACTTAATGAGATAAAATCTGCAGCTGAAAGTGAACCAGTTTTTTTGTTGTTTTTTTAGTGAACACCCTGGAGCCAACTGACTGATAAATGTGTCACCTTTTATTATCTCTGCTGTTAAACAAATATCTACAACCTGCACACGTGTTCAAACACAACGAAGCTCATTAAGGTGCTAAAAATGGTTTCTGCTGTGAACTTTCAGCCAACATGAAAATCGCAGCGTTTAACATTCAGAAGTTTGGACGGAGCAAAGTGTCGGATGCAGACGTTCTGAAGATCCTGGTTAAGGTAAAAACACTTAAACTCACCGTTCTTAGGGTAAAGAAAACTGGGTAAAGGAACACTGCACTGGTGCACTGCAAAAACACAAAGTATTACCAATTATTTTTGCTCTGGTTTCCAGTGCAGATATGTTTTTACAGTTGAATTACGTCAAAACTGACTTACAAGAAACAGGAGCTCGTTTTAAGTCAGTAATTCCTTAAAATTGATGAAAAAGTTCCTTTGTCCAGACATTTTTCCCAAGTTGTAAGTGAAATAATCTGCCAATAGGAATAGTACTTATCAATTTCAAGGAATTACTGACTTCAAATCTCCTTTATCTTGCTGAAAAGCAACTTGTAAGTTAGTTTTGCCTTATTTTAAGTGTAATAAGATATTTGCATTAAAAATTAGACCTGATTTAAAGCTGTTAGTCCTAATTTGTGGCCTGGTGCATCAAGCTGCTGTGATGTTGTGTCTGTGTCAGATTATTTCCCGTTATGACATCATTGTGATCCTGGAGGTCGTTGACGCCAGCGGGAAGTCGGTGGACACGCTGGTGCAGGCGCTCAACAAGTCAGTAAAAGTTTCCTACATCATCAGCAGATCCATAAACTGACAGTCACAGAAACACTTCAGCTTAAATCACACAGTAGACAGAATCACCTTCCTGTAAAAGCAGCGTCACATTTATGCTTTATGGAAATTATTTGGGCCTTTAATTCTTGATTTTAATTGTTCAGAATATACAACAAAAAACTGCAATGATTTTTAAAAACAGTAACAAACTTAAGTTAATATTCACACAGATTCAAAAATAAATGAACCAAAATTAATATCCAGAGCTTCAAATTCAAAAATAAGTTTGGGTGAGTTTTGTTTTTTTATTTAATGATTTTATTGTTATTGATATTGTTATACGTTTTTTGTTTAACTGTTTTATTAAAAGGGATCTTTGATCTGGAGCCTTTTTATCCTGGTTAAATCAAGGATGAAGAAGAAACTTTTAGTTTACCTTTAAGCTACAAGTTATAAACATATTTGATATTGAGAAATCAAACCTATCAATCAGCTTCATCCGCTGCTTTTCTCCTCAGAGCCAACCGGAAACATCACTACACTCTGAAAATCAGCACTCGCCTGGGCCGGACGCGCTACAAGGAGCAGTACATGTTCCTGTACAGGTGACAGTTCACTCATTCATTCATCAGAAGGACTATAAAGTGCTTTATGAATGAGGTCGTATTGAATGTGCATGCAGGGACGACCTGGTGGACCTTGTGGGATCGTACCAGTTCGATGATGAGAAGACCGAAGGCCTGGACGTCTTTGCCAGGGATCCGTACATCCTGCGGTTCAGGTGCCTGAACACAGGTGAGCCATGACGTGGTCAGATTTATGCCATCATAAAACTGTGTAACTGTGTAAATCTGTCTGATTCTCCTCTCAGTTCTGAAAGATCTGGTGATGATCCCAGTTCACACCAAACCCGAGGACTCGGAGAAGGAGCTGGACGAACTCTACGACCTCTTCGTTCACGTCAAGAAGAAGTGGAAGACTGATGTAAGACTTCAAGCCAAACAAAAACATAAACTTGAAAATGTAAAGGAAATTAAACATTAAATGAACGTTTGAATGTGTAGCTTTGATACTGTAATATTTAAAACCCTGGAACCGGAGAGTTCACGTTCTTTTCCCCATGGCTGTAAACCGGGAGCAAAACTTTAGATCTGTCACTAAAAGTGGATCAAATTGAAACAAACTGGTGGCACTGGTTAAGGTTTCCTGTCTCTCCGCTGCAGAACGTGATGATCCTGGGCGACTTTAACGCCGACGGCTCGTATGTTTCAAAGAAGGACATGAAAACCATCCGAATCCGCAGCGACACGAACTTCCACTGGCTGATCGGAGACGATGTGGACACAACGGCCAGCACTGGAAACACCAACACATACGACAGGTAGAAACCGACCACCTCCGAATGAACGTTAAGAACAAATCACTCATAAATCTTCAACATTTAACAAAAACAACCTAGGATTCCTCAGCACTCGTCTACCCGCTTTTCCACCTTGGATTGTGGGAACTGTTGTTATAAATACAGAATACATGGTTCTGTCCCTATGGTTATTATATGGGAGTGGCTGCGACTCCCTGCTGTTTGCTTTGTTAATTCTTCTTCTCGTCGTTCAGGATCGTCGTTTACGGAGACGACATGCTGCAGGCTGTTGTTCCAAAATCTGCTAAAACCTTCAACTTCCAGAAAGCTTACAAGCTCTCCATCGAGCAGGTTTGCTCTCATTTTAACATGTTGAAACGTTCCTTCTGAAAATATTTTACCAGATTTAATTATGAAAAATTATTTATTACCATGATCAGACAAACAAATGACACAGTGTGGGTTTCCAGTCATACCTTAGCAACGAGAAAACATTGAGTTACATCGTTATAAATGAAAAGGAGCTTTGAATTGTGACTCATTGTTGACAGAATGACTCAGGGTTCATTCTGTCCTGTTATTTCATACAATTAACATAATTATAAACGCATGGAGATAAAATTGTCTAACTGCACTTTTCACCTTGATATTTGTGTTTACCCAGAACTGGAGACGCCCCAGAAGTTGCAATAATCTTAATAAAGTTTTATTATTTCTCACTTGTTCCAGGCTCTGAAAGTGAGCGACCATTACCCAGTGGAGGTGGAGCTGAAGCCCATGGTAGAAATAACAGATGAAGGCGATGGTACGCTCAATTTAAAAAATAATAATAATAATAAGGGTGTTTTTTAATTCTAGAGCTACATGAAGAGAGGTCAGCTTATACTTAAAAAAGGATTTCAAGCTGTCTCATTTAGATATTTTATTAATAGTAAATTTTCAAAGGCCAGAGACAAAGAAAGTTTCAACTTAAGGTGGATTTTTCTATTTCTTTGGGCTTTGAAAATGTACAGTTTTAAATCCTTTTTTAAAGCCACCATCTTGTCTTCTCAATGTGACTTCATAAGGAGTAATAGGGGGGTTGAAGTCCACCCCCACAGAGATTAGCTAACTGCTGTACAAGCTAACTCCTGTTAGAAATACAAACCAATAATTAATTTCTTTATATTTATCCACTGTAAAAACATAAATCCTGTGTTTCTGCAGGATTTAATTGGACACAAACCCTCAAACGTGCAAACATGAAGTCATTCCAACTTTCAGTGCGTTCAGCAGCCATATTGGATTCTGAGGACGAGTTTGCTTTGCTACCTCAGACTTTCCAAGTCGTTCCTATAATTTTAGTCAACATTCCAGCTAATTTTTCCAACTTTAAGTCTGGAAATTCGAGCTGGAAAGCAACAATAGAGCCAGATTAGCAAGTAGGTATGAAGTGGGGGTGAGCTCTTTTACTTTGGCTTCATTTAGATAATAAACATGGCTGCATGACATAACCTGGGACTATTTTGTCTGGCCATATTATCTGCATGATTAGAGTCTGGTTATAGTCTCCTGCCCAAAATCAGAGGGTATTTTTAAGATAAATTTGTAAATTTAAGAATGCTAAAGATGCATGTGATCACGACTTTTATCTTTTCTATTTATTTCAAAATATCTGGCCAAGATCTTAAAATACATTCATGTAAATCACAAACAGAAAGAAAATGTAATAAAACTGTAATTCCAGCGCGTCGTTTACACTAGATTTGTTTCCAATCTTTGTACATTTTTCCTTTTATCAGATTAAAAATTAACAAAAATAAATAACAGAGGAGTAAAAGAAATGGATTTTTAAAATCGTTTCTGTGGAAATCTCCAAGCTTGGTTTAAAGATTGTGGCTTTTCTCTTAGGTAATGCTGGTGGCTGCTTTGTTTGGTTTTGCTGGAAGACAGGAACTGAAAGTGTAATTATCTTTCATTAATCAGCTTCACTTACCTGCATGGAGCTTGCCTTTTGATTAGATGACATATCTGCTTCCTCTGCAGGCCAGAAAGACAAGCTGGGCGGGCTGAAGATTGATGAAGACGAGGATCTAACGGAGCTGAAGAGAGGAAATCTGCTCCTGGAAAGAGAGAAGCTCAACCTGGAGATCCAGATCCTCCGGATGCAAGTAGCCAAGATGACCAACGGAGAAGCAGTTTAACCTGAAGAGGCCAGACCTCACTTCACACCTACTCACCAATCTGTCCATTTCCAGGCTTGAAGTTGGAAAAACTAGCTAGATTAATCAGAAACACAGCCAACATGACTATAAGCTGCAATAATACTGGTTTGCTGTTAGTGTGTAACAGGAGCCAGTTTTACCAGGCTGGTCTCTGCCTGAATACGGGACATTTTTCCATATAATAAATAATCTGCCATTAGGACTAGAACATTTTCATCAATATTAAGGGATTATTGACTTAAACAAACTCATATTTCTTGCTGAAAAGTAACTTGTAAGTAAGTTTTGTCTTTTTCAATTGAACTAAGAAATCTGCACTAGAAACTGGACCAATACTTGGTGAGATTTAATGTTTTTGAAGTGAACAGAAAAAAGATAAACATTTTACATTCTCCAGAGCAGAAGATGAGATCCAAATGGGTTTTAAGTAAACCCTTGTTCCACTAGATAAGATTAAACAGCTTTGATGATCTCTTAACAGAGGAAAACTCTGTTTATCACCACCATCATCTCAGGAGCTTTTCTCTAAAGACCCTTAGAGAAAAGCACAAGGCCTTGTTTACATCAGATTTCTTTTTGCCTTTGTCTTATTAGCAGCTGCTAACTAGGCCACTGATGGTACATCGCGATCTGCAGAAAACCTTCCATCTATCATCTATACTGGCTCATCCTTGCTGCAGAATACCAACATCTCGCTCTATATATGAATATAAACTGGAGGTTTCTACCTTATTGTTTCAGCCTTGTCATCAAACTAGCAGCATCATGACGTAGCTGAGCTCTGCTGATGTTGCTTTTATGGCCAGATCGTTTAGACGTGGCGCCGCACTCACATTATTAATAATAATATTTTATTTATGAAGTGCTTTTAATGGCATGCTGCAGAATAGTAAAGTTAAAACACCAACAAGAAAGTATTTGTGTAATATAACAATTGGAAGAAATTATCCACTGAAAAAAAAATCACACTGAGCCTCTGAAGTTGGATTTTATGAGTTAATTGTTGAATATTCCAGAAGAGAAATGATTTATGCTTTTCCTGCTCATCATATCTGCTTGACATTGTGGCAGGTTGTTGTCTTGCGCCCTAAAAACTCCTTCGTTCCTCTGCGCAATTTGGAGGCATATGCGCATTAAATAAGCCTTTATTTGGGTGCAAATAAATTATTTCCTGCACCTTTGTGAAAACCTGTTTTACTTGAGAATCTGAAGAGCAGTATCGTGTGAAACTTTTTTATAATACTCTTTAATGTTTGAATGATTGACATATTTTTATTGTTCCTTGAACTGAAGCCACATAACTGATTCTGTAAAATTTCTTAACCAGCTTTATCTGAGCAAAAAGTGTCAGCAGCACCATGCTGTTTAACACTCATTTTTTAAATTACTGTCAAAATTTAGTTTTTCAGATTTTTTAGCATGACTGAATCCAGATGCTTTTATTTACTTTTTGCTTTTCACAGGATGAAAACTATTTCTTTTTAAATAATAGTTAATCATTTCAATAATTACTAAGTATTCCTAAAAGGTGAATTTTGTGTAATTAATTTACTTCAATGTTTTTTGTGTTGCCGTTTATCAATGCAGAGTGTAAACATGTTATGTACAGGATAATTGCTTTTACCACCTTTTATGAATAAACTGATTTACAATAAAAACTGACAAAAGCAACAAACATTACTGGCTGTGTAATTATTACAAAAATAGTTTTCATTTAGCCATAACGCTCCTCTGGTGGGTAGCTTTAAATCTGTAAAAGTAGAACAACTAACTTTACAAGAAAACATCATAAATAAAATATCTTCTGGTAAAATTATCAAAAAACAAGAATACTGTGATAAAATACACGACACCTCATATTTAAAAATTTTGCTTCCAAGCAGCCATATTTTTATGAAAATATGAACAGATTGTGAACTGATGCACACCAACATCTTCTTTCTCCAGTTTATATTATATGCTTCATGTAAATATTTTTAAAGTTGATACGTTTGGAACAGATAGAGGGAATAAACCTCGCATATAATATTTGCAGGAGCTTCCCACCATAACTGGAACGCTCTCATAGGTAGATGCATTAAAAAGTTTATGAGTCACATTTTGGTTTTACACGGGTTTATAATTTTTTGTGTAAGAAACAGAAAATTGACAAAGCTAAAAATGTTGCCATAATCACCATTTTATCAGTTTGGATATTTTGCTTCCATCAAAACAAAACAAAAAGAAAAAAAAACACTTAAAACGAGACATAATTACAAAAAAAATTTACTGACATCTCCCACTTCACAATACAACACAAACATAGTTCAGGTCTTTTCTGTTAAACATTTTCCACTGAAGAAATGTTCCTTTTTATTTTTGCTAAAAAATAAAGACATTTCATAAACGGTCAGAGTTAATTTAGTTGTTGGGTCTGAAGGGAGATAATTACTTTTCTTCTTTGGGGGAGGCATGTTGTTGTCTGTTCACTCAAAAAAAGGTCATTTTCTGCGCTGTACTGAGAGCTGGAAGAGCTCAGCGCAGGAACAGCTTCTGAGTGTTGCAGGGTTCATGTTTACCAGTGAAAAACAAACTGAAGGTTGCTAGGCAACATCATCTTCAGACTCTACTTCTTCCCCGACTTCTTGATCCCGCCACTGGCTGCAGGAAAAATTACAGATACAAAACTGATAAAATGACAGAAACAACTGTGGCTGATTTTGTTTAATTTATAAAATGAATAAAAAGATTTTCTATCAAATTTGAGACAACATTGGGTTCAGATATGCAGCTTCATGGGGGTAAAATATTTCTCCATACATTCTGTGAAACCACAAAATGATGCATCAGGTGTAATGCATACTGCTGCTGTTAATCCCATAATCAGGTTGTGTGTTCATGGCTGCATTTCTGGTATTATTAAAAAACCCAGACAGGTGTGATAAAAAACTATCAACCATATGTGAATTCTCAGGAAATCTGGAACACATTTAAAGAAAACCTGAGGAACTGTTTTTTATGTTCCTCCCATCTGTTAAACTGCAGCATTTTCTTCAAAAACTTCAATTTAGATATCAAACGACTTAATGGAGATTTTTTTTAATTACTTCTCTAGTCTCACCTAAAGGTCCTTTTCCTGTTGCTTTGGCCTTCAACGCATCCATGGCTTTCTGCTCTTCCTTCTGCTTCTGCTTGAAGGCAACATCTTCCTGCAGGCATCAATTATTTTTAATACACCACAAGCAACACTTTCTGTTAAACTGATATCCTAGTCACAGATAAATTTGAATTTTCAGAGAATACTTTGTACACAGTGAATCCACTCTGACACTTCAAATCTTCATGGTCTTAATCTGTGACTTCAGCTAAGTTAAATTGTGAAAGAATAAACGGACTAAACTTACATCATCCAATTCCTTGTTTTGTTTCTTGGGCGCCTTGAGTGGTTTCTTTTTGCCTCCTGAAAAATTTATAAATAAAACAAATCAACCAACATTTCTGTCACTCCGACTTTAAAAAGTATTTGTGGATTTATTATTTTAAGACATTTTTTATATTTAATGAGCTGCTTCTTATTAAACATACTGCAGGATTTTCTTTAAAATATTTTCGACCATTAATGGACATTTCAAAGTGATTTCTGTCTCACGGTCATGCAAGAGTGTACAAGTACACCCTTGTTGTTTCCACTGGTTTTAAAAAAGGAAAATTGCTAATCAAAGGATTTGATTAACTGATCACCAGCCTAATGTCCGTCATTCTGGGAAAGGTGTGGGGGTTTTCATTCCAGAGAGAGAAAGACTAATTGCTGATTAATTCACCTGCTCATCACTTCAAATCTTTGTGCTTTCGGTCATTTCATTTTGATTTATCTCAATCTATAATTAAATTAAGCACAGTGGGCCAAAAAATTATTCCACATCGATGTAAGAGATTGATTAGGTCAAACATAATACCGACAGTTAGTGCTGCTAAATCTATATACACTGAATCAAGTTCTCCATTTGTTGTTGTTTTTTCCGGCGAATGCGTGCATTTTTAGACATTAAGCAAGTAAGCGATGATGAACATTTTTGGAGTGAAACACAGGACATTAGCTGGAACCTGTTAGCATTTTTTAGCTTCTTACACAAACTGAAGCGCGCAACACATAAAATAACAAGGTCAGAAATTTAGCACAACAAAAAAGTCTCACCTTCTCTACCGGACATATTTAAATCGTTTAAATAGGATATAAATGACTAAAATTAACGGTGAATGACAGCAATTTAGGCTCGTCGATTTAATCCGCGCTGGAAGGACCCCAGAAGAACCGCCGGAAGTAGAATCCTAATCATATGCCTGAACAAAAACACCTACATGATGCTAGCTGGTTCTCCAAACACCAGGAGGATAAGTGGTTAAAGAACGTTTATTCCGAAAAACTAAATGCTGTGACAGCTCTAAAGGAAACAGGTGCGTTTATTTTAGTAGCTTTCTCCATAAACTACAATTACAACAGACATATTCTAGACAGTTTTATAAGAAAACAAGCACCGAGGTCAATGTTAGCAATATAAAGCTAGTTAGAAAAGAAACAGAAAACAACGATGTAATAAAAAGGAGTTTCAATTAAAAAACCCGAATTATATAAATGTAAAGTATTTAGAGTGTGATAGTGGTGTATGTATTTAATGGTTTGTCTTCAGTGAGGGCAGAAACTGGTGTCTGCTAAAAGTCATCAGTCTGCTGTGTTTACACAAACTCAGGATTGTCTGCAACAATGAAAAAAGATTAGAAAAAAATATTGCAATTTTTAATAAGATGGCTGTTACGTTATTTTAGATTCAGAATGACTTCGTTCCTTTTAAAATTAGTAATAAAGCATGTTCTTCCTAAGGACATGTGTTGTTCTTAATATTGCGCTACTTAAATGTAAATCAATTTAAAAGCAGCTAACGTTTATATTGATTTATGAAGCTTTAATCACGAAAATGCATAAATAAACCGAGACGACAGCAGCTGCCAGGTAATTTTTAAAAATCTAATAAATTCACAAAAAGGTGACTTGTAAAGTAACTAATATATAAAGCTGGTATGCGCTTATATTCCCCCATAAAATAGGAAAGTTGAACAATATTCTTGGAAATATAGATTTTTTTTACAGCAGAATCTTTTTTTTATTTAGATAAAACAGAGAAATGTGTAACTGTCAAAATCAAGAAAGAATAAACTTTAAGAAAATTTACTTTCAAAAGAGGCATTTAAGTGCCTGAAACGTGTGAATGTTAGGTAAGGTGCATTTAAAAAATAAAGGAACTGTTTGTTTTAATAAGGTAAGATTTAGCTAGGTATACTTGATAGATGTTGGTTTTTAAAACGTGCATTACTCTGTTTAAATTACACATTTGGTCATCTTGCTTGTTTAAAGCTGGAAATTCAAGCTTTAAGAATTGTTGAGTTTTTACTTGACTTCAGTCTTAATTTGCACTAACTGTGATACACACAGCACCTTGACTTCAACATGTTAATTTAATGGTCCTGATTTGATTGGATCCAAATGTAAAAAGTCTTTAAAAAGATTTTGTTTGTTTGTTTTATTTTTTTTTTTAGAGGTGCCCTTTTGGTGTCGGTCCAAACGCTGCTGTGTGTTTGAACCTTCCACCTCAACTGCTGACGTTCTCAATGAGGTAAGACACTCATGAAATGCTTTGAACTGCATTCAATTTACCAGAAGAAATTTAAAAGAAAATCTAAAGTCAATCATAGAAACATTTGTGTCAGAGCCAAAACCTTTGGGCATGATTTAAAGAACTGAATTAATTACAGACGTGTCACCGTCTCAGGTACAGAGGAGCTCAGATTTACATCTGGGCTCGAGGCTCATGCTGTCTGTCTCGGCACCATCTGGCGGTCAGAACTGCTGCGGTTCGACCGTACAGCTCTGAACCGCCGTCTCGATCTTCTCCACCCGCTGGGTCCTCCCCTCTTGTACAGAAAGGTACAGCTGAGGTGGTGAAGGAACGCAGCCTGTCTGTCCTACAGGTACAGCTGTCCCGTACCAACATGCCAAAAAAGACTGAATTATCAGAACTGCATTTTTCTGTTTGTTATAAATAAAGTAGCCTTAAATAAAAAGTTCTTCCCTGTTTTTGTCCCATCAGCATGCAGGAGAGTTGGGGCGGGAGTGGAGCCAGAGGTCTGCGCAGGCGGCCACAGCCACCGTGAACTACTGGTGGGGGAGATACGAAGAGTTTGTGGGGCTGAACGAGGTCCGCGAGGCTCAAACCAAGGTCACAGAGGTCAGAAGACACAGCGAACAGTCATGGCTGCAAGTTTAATCAGAGACAAACATCTTTATGCAAAATTCACATGTTTTTGTTCTTCCATTTGGGTCTCAACTGCTTCTAAAAAACAGCACAAGTACATAAAAAGAAAAAAAAACCATTCAGCCGATTTTTGGCAATAAGTTCATGTTTTTTTGGTGTCTGGAAAACGAGCCGTTACAAAAACCTCCAGAATGTTGAGTCACATTCCACGGGCACTGTGCCTTTACCTAGCAACCACAGCCATGCCCAGTCCGTCACCGAGCAACTAAGCTGAGATCCAGCATGTTTGGTCAGCTGGTTTTACCCTTGTATGCACCGTACAATGGCTGCTGGAAAAGACAAGAGTTTTGTTGTTAGCTTACCAACTAGAAACCAGTTGCTGCATTCTTGTTGGTTGTGCAGGAATCTCCACTAATGCTTTTCAAAGCAGAGGCCATTTTCATGTGTGAGCATAAATGTTGAGTTGGACAGCAGCAGCTTATTTGGATTTAAAGTGACAGAGGCGCTAAAACAAAATCATTCAAAATATGCAGAACTGGCTAAAATCTCATTATCTAAGAATGATTTTGTGCAAATAAATTTAATAAAGATGTTTTGTATAGGCCATAGACCGATCCTAACCTGTCCAAGGAAACATAATAGGTCACCTTTACAGTTGAATCTGCACAGTTTAGTTTTTTTTATTTTCTTAACCTCCATCAACAAAAAAACCTCGTATTATTAAAAGTCTTACAGACTGGATGTGTCTGCTCAGGCTGAAGCGGCGTTCATGGTGGCCAGAGGAATCGTGCGTGAAGCGCACACCAGCCTGGAGGCGCTGCAGGGCCGCCTGAAGGAGGTCAGAGACCGGCTGGACCGCGTCTCCAGGGAGGAGGCTCACTACCTGGAGCTGGCCACGATGGAGCACAAGCTGCTGCAGGTCAGCTCAGGAAACAACCACCAGTAAAAACTGGTGATTCAACGCAGACAGCGTGTTTGAGTTACACAGGATGGATGAGTGTCGGAGCGTCTCTCCCATATAAGCTTTACATCTACAGCTGTCTGAGTGTCAAGCTTTCCTGTTGTTAGATATGCAAAAAAATGTTTTTAGCTGGATAGTCGGGGTTTGTATGGATGAATACATTTTCAGTTAGATGTTTTTAAGATCTGAAAAGTTCTTAATTTCTGTGTAAATATTGATACTAAAACTACACAGTTTTGTAATGAAGTTCAATCTAACATTTGATTAAAAGCTTAAATTTGGAAAACATTATTTACAGATGAAACCAGATATTTTCATACACTCAACAAAAATACAAATACACATTTTTTTCTTTCTCTGTCTGAAATTAAATCTGACCAAACTTTTCTTGGTCCAGATTAGAATTATAAAAAAATTTTTTATTTGCTAAAGTGAGGAAGAAAATTTGCAATATTTCATTAATAATGATTTAAGAATAAAGTATTAGTTCCACTGGCTGATTATTTCACTTATAACATGACATTTTTACCATAAGTGGAGCTAGTACTTTTTAAAATTGATATTAAGGAGTTATTCACCTCAAACAAGCTTCTATATCTGGATGAAAAGTTAATTGTAAGTTAACACTTTTGCTTGAAATAGTTAAGACAAAAATACTTTGTTTTTGTAGTGCAATAATCTAGTGTAATGAAGGGGTAAAACTAGCAAACAGACACAGTATAGCCTTTAGTTCTGGCTGTAACGTTTATTTAAAACAAACCGGTGTAAAACAGATCAGCCATATTTAAATTTTTTCCCGACCGCAGGAGGAACGGCGTCTCCGGACTGCGTATGAAAACGCGGAGAGTTCGGAGAGGGAAAAGTTCGGCCTGTTTTCGGCGGCGGTGAGGGAGAGCCACGAGAAGGAGAGGACGAGAGCGGAGCGCACCAAGAACTGGTCCATCATCGGCTCTGTGCTCGGAGCCCTGATCGGGGTCATGGGGTCAACGTACATCAACCGCGTCCGCCTACAGGTAACGAGACGCTGACTGAACTTTAACCCTGAAGCGTGAAATACTAAGAGAGGGAGACAGGAAGTAGATGAGGAAGCCACTGGATGGTTGAAAACAAAACATGCCGCCATCAAATCAGCCCAAAAGTGACACCAAATATTTTTATTTTTAAGATTTTAAATGAAAAAGACCATTTTTCATTTGTACAACAAATGAAAAATGTACATCATGTACATCATGTTTCTAATGATGTACAGCCCACCCCCCCGGAGAGGCGCGGGTACTGTCCCCCACTCGTAGCCCTATTCGGGTTAGAGTCCCTTGAGTAAAACGTGGGTTAGAGTCCCAGTTAAACGACGTTTAACTAAAGTCCTACGGGGTTTAGAGTCCCAGTTAAACGACGTTTAACTAAAGTCCTACGGGGTTTAGTTAAACGACGTTTAACTAAAGTCCTACGGGGTTTAGAGTCCCAGTTGAACGACGTTTAACTAAAGTCCTACAGGGTTTAGAGTCCCAGTTGATGGCGTTTCAACTAAAAACCTAGAGGTTGGAGTCCTTGTCAAACGGTGTTTTTGACTAACGTCCCAGATAAGGACAGGGGTGCGGGTGTCGTCCCCCCTGGTTGTAAAGGGGTTTTAATGTTTTTATCTTTTTTTATCTTTTTTTAAAATCTTTCTCTTTCTTACTGTTTATTCAATGTCACATGCTGTTTTTATTTTTTTTTAATGATGTAAAGCATTTTGAAATGCCGTGCTGCTGAAATGTGCTATACAAATAAAATTTGATTGATTGATTGTTAATTTAGCAGCAAATAAATCCAAAACCCTTGTGTTGGAGCGTCCATCCGTTCATCACCAGTCCTGGTGTGGGTTTGGGGTCATTGACCTGTTGAGTCGCCCAACTGTGTCAAAGCTTCAACTGTCAGCAGTTAAAGCCTAAAATATTCAGATTATTGACAGATTTAGATTTGAAATTAATTTCCTTCAACGTTTGTTTCTGATAAACAAATGTTAAAATTACAATGTAAAACAATTCATCAATTAAA